AGTTGTTTGTCACTTTATTCCTGCAAACCTGGTTAAGATAAACAACCACACTTAGAGTGAACCCTTACAGCATAGTTGGTCTCATCTTGTGGAATGTGATTTCTACGTCACTGAAATTTTGTAGCCACTTATATCCTACGTGGAATTAGTTAGCTTACTTGCATTTAACAATAGTGAGACTCTTTTTTCACGTATGGAAACTAATTCCTTGATTCACCAGTTGTTCTCAAGTGACTCTTTTTTCTTATGTGCTTGTGATAACTCAAATTCACAACTATGTCTATGACTGTACTAGCAATACTCTGCACTTTACTGGTATCGAATTGATCTCCTTTTCCACTTAAGACCTCTACATGGTTCTCTAGAATATACTAGGATTACTAAATTGTTTGTATATACCTGTGTGAATATCTTCTAATAGTTTTTAATTTGTAAAATTCAGGTGTCAATACCTAAGTAATGCAGTCCTACAGGCCAAAAATGCAACTAATAGTGATGGGATAGTAAGTTCTGGTCGAAGTTCCATTGACAGTGGGTTCCTAGATTTGCTGGAAGGGAAGCTTGCAGTTCTTAGGTTCCAGATAAAAATCAAAGAGGAACTAGAGTCTATGGCTTCCAGGTCGGATGTTTTACCTAGCACGTCAGATTCCACCGAAAATAGTGTAATCCCTGAGGGCAGTTCTACTGCTGATGCCAATTTTGTACATGCAACAAGAGAGAAGGCAAAAGAGCTAGCTTCAGATGTGAAGAGTATTACCCAGTTGTATAATGAATATGCTGTTCCCTTTGGACTCTGGGAGGTACTCTTGGTCTCTCTGTGACTATTTATTCATTTGTTCTTATTTTATTTTGGTTTAGATTTGTACAACGTTAGATTTTTCTCTTTTGCTTGTTCACCTTATTTTTAGTTTTGAATGAGATCAATATCTTTAAGAGCTTGATGATGAAAACTACTAGGTATACTTACAAGTCTTTTGAGCTTTAGTATATTGATTATTGATGGCAACGGAAATTCAGATAGGATAGGAGAGGATCTATTATTAGATCCTTGCCCAAGGAAGAAACTGTCCATCTTTGAAGTATATTCCGGCAGAGAGCATTTGGTATAATATAATAACTGTTATGTTGATTGTTCATGGTAGAAGTTATGCATTATGTTGTGCTGGATGATCTTGAAGTGAGGATCAGTTATCTATTATTAGTATTAGATATATGAGTAGTAGAGCACAGATATGTTTTTGTTTCCTTGTAGCTTGGACAGGAAACTCATCTCTGTAAGAGTGTTTCTGGGACAGCAACAACCAATGTATTGTCTGTGTGATTTAATAATGCCACCTATGGATCTATTAATTTGTGTTCTATCAATTATTCTGATCAAGGTATTTGTAAATGTAACTTTGTTGAAGTAGGTAAGAGAAGGGCGTGTTATTATATTTGAAGAAAAAATAAAGGATTTGAGCTTCTCATATTAAATTTAAATTTTTTAAATTTCATTACCCCTGTTACTTGAACTAGTAAATTTATTCATTCTTGTTCATCTCCTTGCTTTTCTTCCCATTATTTATTTTAGCATAACCACACTGAAATATACTTACGATTTATTTTCCTTCCAATGATACAGAATTAGATGAAGGGAAGTTTGTGGCCTATTTTCTCTTCTCTCCTGCCAAAATCCTTTCTGTATTTTCAAACTAAAAAAGCATTAAAGATTTTGTTGTATTGAAAAATTGGTTTATTTGCTACTGTACCGCTGGACAATTTTGTCGGTGTTGTTTTTGTAGTATTTTTGTTGAAAATATTGTCCTATTAATGTGAAATTTCTTTATGAAAGTTCCTGTTAACAATTCTTCAGTGCCTGCTTTTCCTTTAGATATGCCTGGAGATGCTATACTTTGCCAATTATTCTGGTGATACGGACAGCAGCATTGTCAGAGAGACATGGGCTAGACTTATAGATCAAGCTATATCAAGAGGGGGCATTGCTGAAGCTTGCTCTGTACTAAAGAGGGTCGGGCCCCGCATTTATCCTGGTGAAGGAGCTGTTTTACCACTTGACATTATTTGTCTTCACCTAGAGAAAGCTGGACTGGTACGTCTTCCGAGTTACTGATTGATTTTACTGTAAATTATATTTTCTACCTCTGTATACTCTCTCGAACACCTTTCAGTTCAGGCAGGTAAAATTTGATTGAATTATCACTCTTTTAACTTATATATATGAATTCATTTCTCTGTAGGAGAGGTTGAATTCAGGGGTTGAAGCCGTTGGAGATGAAGATGTTGCAAGAGCCCTTGTTTCTGCTTGTAAGGGTGCAGCTGAACCTGTATTGAACGCATATGACCAATTGTTATCGAATGGTGCTATTTTGCCATCCCCAAGTGTTAGATTACGTATGTTGAGATCGGTTCTGGTGGTACTTCGAGAGTGGGCAATGTCTGTATATTCACAAAGGATGGGTAGCAGTGGCGCTGGGCATTCCTCCCTAATACTAGGTGGAGGATTCTCATCGGAGCGTGCTGTTGCCAGCCAAGGAATTCGGGACAAGATCACGAGTGCCGCAAACAGGTTGACTTCTGTACTCTTTCATCTTATAAATAGTCTTTTTGTGGGCATAATAGTTGAAGTTGTGATCTGATTTACTCTTACACATGATACAGGTATATGACTGAAGTGCGGAGATTAGCCCTTCCACAGAACCAAACAGAACATGTCTACCGAGGTTTCAGAGAACTTGAAGAATCGTTTATAAGCCAACATTCATTTGATCGATTTTGATGTTTGTTGGAATATATAGTGTTGTATCAATTGTTCTTGTCATATAATTATTTTCAAATAAGAAGATTTCAATTTTCCATATAGGATGTGATCATGTGAATCTTTTTAATACAATCTCGAGCATTAATTAGGAATATCATACCAGCGTAATTTATGTGAGGTAGTTAAATGGCATGGGTTTTATAACATCATCGTTCAACTGACACCATGTTATTCATGATGGTCCTTAGGGCTGTCAAATAGGCGCCCTGCCTGACAGGTTAGGTACAAGAATTTAATAATCCAGAGTAGCAATCGGATTATAATTTTTTATTCAGTTGAGTCCTGTTGCTATTATGTAATATTTTGCCTAATCATAAATTTTGAAAAAAAAAATCAGTGCCCGTTTGTAAAATATTTTAAGAATTTGTAAGAAAAAAAATCATTAATAAAAAAAGTCATATTACATCAATGGCTCTATGGTTTAATTTCTTTCACATGAGACAAAATTATTAATATGCATCCCGGAGTTTATATATAATAATCTTTTAAAATTTTAATCAACGTGTAAAAAGGTAAAAATAAAAGATATATCATTCTACAAATCAACATGGTAACCCACGGACCAGTTTACTTTTGACCTGGATCATCTATCATGTCATTATAATATTAAGGTTAAAAAAACAATGATTTATAATTTTACATTAAAAAAATAAAATAAATTTATATAAAGAAACCAAAATCAAAAGTTGCTCTTTTTTATAGACTAAAAATAATGTAATTGTCAATTTTTCATCTTCAACAATATCACATATAATTCTATAGAAAATAATTACATTGAAATTAATTAAGATAATTATAAATATTAAAATAGGAAAATAAGTTTTCTTTTATTTATTTTTTAAAATATGAAATTTTCTGAAAATGAATTTTAATCAAGTTAACCCAAAAAAAAATGTAGGAATGTGAAAAATAATTTTTCCCGAGTTTACTTTTTTTTTTGTGGAAAATATATCATGTTGGTTTTATTAAATCATTTAATGTGATAATAACTTAATGAACTATTATAAATATTTTTCATCAGCAAAAATTTAATAAGTTGTGATATTAATAATTTGTGGTTTTTGGGTATGAAAAAACCAAAACGTCTATTTTTTTAAACTAAAACAACAGCTCAAATAAAAAAATAAAAAAATTTATTTTATATAAAATGAAAGACTAATAATCAATTTTATTTTATTTTAGAAAAATCTCTAAATCATACAATTTCAAAAGCTTAAAATTTGGTATTTTCAAATAAAGTTAAGGAGATGAAGACAGAATTAAAAAATAAAAATAAAATAAAACCCTAAAAATTTTGTGGGCAGCATCAAATGGTAGACCTGAAGGCCAAAACAAGCTTAAAAAAAAAAATAAAATATATATATATATATATATATATATATATATATATATATATATATATATATATATATATATATAGCTTATATTATCCAATGATGAGTTGGATAAAGTAGTATAACAGTATTTTAGTTTAAGTCATAATTTATTAATTAAATACTTTTATTTTAGAAAAAACTTATTAATTTAAGTCATAATTTATGCAATGACACAAAACTTTCCAAGAAAAATATTAATTACAATAAAATTTTATTTATTGTATTGATTTCCGAAAATACCTTTGACCATGACACATATAAGAAACATGATTGGCCACAAATAGAGGACGTTTATGTAACTTCCTTATTCTCTTTCAAATTTAGTTTCTACCGGTAAAAAATAGAAACAAAAAATAATAAATGCAGTTAATTGCTCAAAAATACCACGTTTAATTAATATTATTATTAGCTGCTTTTTTATTTTGTTCAATTAAAAAAATAATATTTATTACTATTATTGTTATTATTACAAGATCTTAAAATTGAAATAAAAATAAAAATTAGGTTTCGGTTTCGATTTTTAACTTCTTCTCTTTTCAATTCACGAATTTTATCAGATCTGATTCATTCGAATTCCAATTTTCCAATAGAAGTCGCTTTCCACGTCACTCGTTATCCCGAAAAAAAGAAAATTGATTTTCCGATTTGATTTGTGATCCCCAAAAAGAAAAGAGAGGGGGAAAACCTGTAAGTGGAAAACACCAAAATGTTTCGCTTTGAGCAGGAAAAGATCCGAAAACGAATTTGATTTGGAAAGTTATTTTCTTTTCGGCAATCTAAGAGTTCCCAGCTTGGTGGGTGTTACCATGGCCGACGCTCTCTCGCTGATTCCGGCAGCCGTGCTTCGCAACCTTGCTGACAAGCTCTACGAGAAGCGTAAAAATGCTGCACTTGATGTTTGTCCTCTGCCCCTCTTTCACTGTTTTTGATTTTTTTTTTTTTGCAATTCCCACAATTTGGGGTTTTAGGGTTTTGGGTGTTGATTATGGGTGTGTGTGGGTGTGTAGATTGAGGGGATAGTGAAGCAGCTAGCTAGTGCTGGAGATCATGATAAAATAACGGCTGTGATCAATTTGTTGACTACAGAATTTACTTATTCACCACAAGCCAATCATCGGAAGGTATTTTTGTTTTTGGAAAAGTTTGTTGATTTTGGTTAATTTGCCTTCAACATAATTGGTCATATTGAGTGCTGGTTGGATTTGTTTTTTTCTGAAAAAAAAAAAAAATGAAGGGAGGATTGATAGGATTAGCAGCAGCAACTGTTGGGTTGAGTTCTGAAGCAGCTCAGCATCTTGAGGTACCAATTTTTGAAATTTTGTTTTATTCATCCTGGTTGGTTTGTTTGTTTGTCTTGGCTTACAAGCTGAATTCTTTCTTGTGGAGGAGTATGCTATATTCATTCCATTAGTAAGTAATAATGTTATATCAGTTTCATAATGCATGCTTGTTGCCAATGGAATTATAATAATGCTCAGCGTAAGGTATAAAACTGATAAATGTTGAGATTTAGCTAGCTAAATGATGTCTAACTGTTAATGTTTTCAGATAAGCATTGATAAAATCGAATTTGAACAAAATTGATTTTGGTTAATATTTAATTTGAAGTAATGTGATTTATGTTTGGATGTTTTTATTATACAATCGAGTTAATAGTAAATCTTCTAGTGTAATTTTTTATCCAACCATTCCAACCATAATCAATTCCTCAACTTGGAACCATACATTTGAAAATTTATCTAAAATAAAATAAATAGTATTTTGATGTGATTTTGGAGAATCTATTGTGCAACGAAACACTTAGTTAGTAGAGGTGTATTCTTTTGGAATAAATTTATTAGAAACATGCATTAATGTTGAGCTAGTTTGTTTAAACTTTAATTAAGTGTTTTTGAAATACACACTTTTAAAAATAATCACTTGTTTAAGAAGCAAATAGGATTTTCTTATTAAAAAAGCTATATTTTTTTATTTTTAAAATGAGCAGATTAAACAAATACATAAAAAAGTTTAAATCTGCTTTTTTTTTTTTTTTAAAAAAAAAGCACAAACAAACCAGTTCTTTATCCTTTACTTTGTTGTTGAGCTTATTTTAACATGACTATTCACATATAATTATTGTACTTGACAGCAAATTGTGCCCCCTGTGTTAAATTCTTTCTCTGACCAAGATAGCAGAGTTCGATATTATGCTTGTGAAGCACTATACAATATTGCCAAGGTGATAATTTGATTGTGCTGACATATGTACCCTTCAACCTGATCATATACTATCCTCTGATGTGTGTTTTTTTAATTTTATGTCAGGTTGTGAGAGGGGATTTTATTATTTTCTTCAATCAGATCTTTGATGCCCTATGCAAGCTTTCTGCAGACTCAGATGCCAACGTACAAAGTGCTGCTCACCTCTTAGACAGGCTTGTGAAGGTATATGTTTTTCTTGAAGTTCAATAAAGCGTTTGGTGTGCTTTTCTGTATGTGCAATAGCTAACTTGTGCTGAATACGGGTTGATCTATCGATGATGTCATAGCTGTTTCCTTTAGTTGAACCAATGGTTAAACTGATTTAAATATTGCTTTCTTGGAACAGGATATTGTGACTGAAAGTGATCAGTTCAGGTGCACCATTCTCTCAAGTCTATATTATATGTTTCTCTGTATTTGGTGTTTTAAATTTTCGAAAGACTTGTAGGTAAAGAGATTTCTGAATGTAATTTTTTTAACAGAGCTTCAATAGGCAAGATGTGAAGCAATCTCGTATTAAATGAAGTGACTTTCACTTTTAAAACCAAAATTAAATAGTGAAACCCAACCTTTTCTACCTCACTTGAACTTACATTGCCTCATTCCCTTCCATTTTCTTTTTGATCTTTAGTATTGAAGAATTTATACCACTGTTGAGGGAGCGGATGAATGTTTTGAATCCATATGTCCGCCAGTTTTTGGTAGGATGGATTACTGTATTGGACAGTGTCCCGGATATTGACATGCTGGGGTTTCTTCCTGATTTCCTTGATGGTAAGCGTATTGTTTGAAAAGTGGTTGTTTTCTCTCTCAACATTCTATACAAAATGAAAGTCTACCTCCTAATCATCTATAAATATCCCAGGCTTGTTTAATATGTTGAGTGATTCAAGTCATGAAATACGTCAACAAGCTGATTCAGCACTTTCAGAGTTTCTTCAAGAGATTAAAAATTCCCCAGTAAGGCTCCTGTTATGTTTTTTTCTGTTTAGTTAGAGTTGTAATGCTTTTAGCACTTTTCAAAGTCTAATTCTTCTTTTATGCAATTGCTTCCCCCTCACTATCCGTTTGAAGCCATTATCCCCTTTTTATGGTTTTTATTTTTTACATCCATGATTTGTTACCTGTATGAATAATAAAATTTATTCCCGTCATTATCCAGTTTTATATTTTTCCTATAATCCATCATTTAGGGTTGATATACCATTTAGCTAGCAGTTGTGTGAGTGACTAACTGAGCTATGCTTCATTTTCAACTGCTACTACTTTGACACAAAAATCTCAGTTTTTTGTTCATTTATCATTTTCTGACTCGAGCAGTGCTACTCTTGAAGTCTGTAGATTATGGTCGCATGGCTGAAATCCTGGTACAGAGGGCTGGTTCTCAAGATGAATTTACTAGGCTAACAGCTATCACATGGGTAAGTGATATTGCTATTCTTCTACTTGGGAGTAAATTATTTACTCTTAGAATACTTTATGCTTTGGGTTGACATTTCAAAACTAATAATTCTTTTATATCAAAAGAAACATTATCAGTTACTTTTTTGTTTTCTTTGTATTTTATTTAGATTTAAATTTAATAACTTCTGATTTCTCATTTTAACAGATAAATGAATTTGTCAAGCTTGGTGGGGACCAGCTTGTTCCATACTATGCTGATATTCTTGGAGCCATTTTACCTTGTATATCAGATAAAGAAGAGAAAATAAGAGTTGTAGGTTTTCAAGCTCTTTATTTTTTTCCTTGTCTATTGTTTTGCTTTCTGTTTTCCTTCTTTCTTAATGGCATTGCTTCCTTCCATGTAAAACAATAAATTTTTGAAATTATCTATGACTCCTTATGTATGGGTAAGGTTGCTCGTGAAACCAATGAAGAGCTACAGGCCCTGAAAGCAGATCCAGCTGAAGCATTTGATGTAGGAGCTATCCTCTCCATTGCCAGGAGGTGTAGTTTTCTTACCTGGGTGGTTTGGCCACTGTTGAACATATTGAGAAATGATTATGAGGGTCCTTTATATTTAATTTAACCAACTACTTCATTTTGCACTGATTATTCTGTAAAATAATATTTGGATGATTTGATTGATCAGGGAATTATCTAGTGAATGGGAGGGCACTCGAATTGAAGCTTTGCACTGGTTGTCAACCCTTTTAAACAAATATCGTAATGAGGTGGCTTGATTGCTATTTTTATTTATGTGAAAATGCTCTGTAAAGGCTTTTGTCTGATCTCCTTCTTGTCTGAAACAGGTTTTACAATATCTGAATGACATATTTGACACCTTGCTCAAGGCACTTTCAGATCCATCTGATCAGGTATAGTTGTTAGGCAGATATAATTTTTGTTATCTTTCATCAAATATTTAATTTCTCAAAATCTGTGCGAAGGTGATTTTATATGTGCAATTGTCTTATGGATCAGCTATACTCTTATTTGATCAAACCATATGGATAAGTTGCTGTTTTCATTTTTGTCTTAGGATGCTCTCATTCCCAGCTTCCTCCAACCATTTTTTCCTTATGTAATAGAGATTGCTTTTAAAAATAAGTGTTTGGCAAGGATGTCAAGTGGCCCCAGCCTCTGCTTTAAAGTCTCATTAACTCTTGTTTATGTAGGTTTTATGCATCAAATTTACTTTGTGCCATCCTCTAGAATATTTGGTACTGGGTGGGTGAAGTTTGAAGCTCGAATAAATTTACAGGTCAAAACATGACCATATATGGTAATCAGATGCTATGCAAAGGAGTGGAATTTTTTATGACATTCTTCCTTGATGTTTTATATTTAATTTTCCTGTTCAGGATGATTTCCTATTTTCCCCTAGATGTACCTTGTCTTCATTTGTTACAGTACTTTTTTCTCTCTGGAATAAATGGAGTAATTCTCTGGGCATTGTTATAAGCATTTCTAACCCCCTTGTGGATTTTTCATGTATACCTTTTTGACTCCTGCTTCTTGACAATAGAATTAAAACAAAAAAGATATTTTTTAAAAGTTTCTCCTGTCCTTTTTTGTAGTGTTGTTCACTTTGTGCAACAATACTCACTTGAACTGTCAGTGATTTGTTTCATTTTTTATTGAATAGGTTGTTCTTCTAGTTCTTGATGTTCATGCATGCATCGCAAAAGATCCTCAGCATTTTCGGCAGCTTGTTGTTTTCCTGATGCACAATTTCCGGGTAGACAATTCCCTTTTGGAGAAGTAAGCAGCTGTTCTCCTCCATCCAATATATTCTTAAATTATATGTCTTCTAATAATTTTAAAATTTTACACTCTAGACGGGGTGCTTTGATAATTCGCCGGCTTTGTGTGCTTTTGAACGCCGAGAGAGTCTACCGGGAACTTTCAACTATACTAGAAGGGGAGTCTGACTTGGATTTTGCTTCAATTATGGTCCAGGTGGGTTGTTACTTTTCTGATATCTTTAATGTTCACTGGTCTATGCCCCACTTTACCAACAAAAAAAAATCTTGTGAAACAGCTACATGAAGCTTGTATTTTCCATATATTTTATTTGCTTGTATTTATGGGCAGGATTAGCTGCTTTTTATGTTAACTGTTATGCCATTGTTAGTTATGTTCGTGTTTTGCACTTGAGCTTTTGGACAGCCATATAAAAATCTTGCTGTTGGATATGTAATTGACTTTAACATTTATTTAATTATTTAATGTCGTACTGAGTCTCAAATGAAATTTGATAATCAATAATACTTCATAGGTCCGGTTTTCTTCTATAGTTGAGAAATTAATATTGTTGCCCTTCATAATAGTGCTGGATGAATCTTTGGTAGTTTAAGTGCTATTGTTTCTAAATTTAAAGTAAGGTTCATTTACATTTTAACCAGCGATCCCTTCAGAATATTTTGAAAAGTTTCACTCTGTATAAATCCATTTCCAATATTTGAACGCTGGATAGGAAAACTGACAGAAGCTTAATCTTCATTCTTTCAAATGTTAATGTTGGTTTTATTTAAATTTCAGGGGCAATCATATTAGTGACATCTTTTAGAAAGGTTTGACAAAGATGTTTGATTTTCAATTATTAAAGAATATGTTTAAAACATAATGAGAATAATCTCAAGAATCACAGTGTGTGGCTCTTACAATTTTTTTGTACTCCATTGGATCCTTGAAATTTTACCATACACAGCATCAGTTTTATGCATTGTGATTCTTTTGAGTAATAAGAAGTTGAAATCATTAATTTTCTATAATAAGATTGGTGTGAGGTGCCAGGCATTTTTATGAAACTGTTGAAAAGTTAATTGATGTTGGGGTCGATGGTTCTTGCTCAATTTATGCTGAATTTTATATAATTTTTTTTTTCTTTTTCACGATCACGACCTTGAGTGCCATTCATCTGCTTGACCCCCCTTCTACATTTACAGGCATTAAATTTGATATTACTTACATCATCAGAACTATCTGAGATTAGATACCTTTTGAAGCAAACGCTGGTCAATCCTGCTGGGAAGGATTTATATGTTTCTTTATATGCCTCCTGGTGTCATTCTCCAATGGCAATTATAAGTCTCTGCTTATTAGCTCAGGTAAAAATATGCATAGATTGGTTTGAGCATTAGTTTTATGTTTTAACTCTCATTTGTGCACTCGGACACATTTGACATCTTTAAACAACATGATTTGTGGATAATAGATAGCTTAGTTTTATTTGGATAACGTACCCCCTTTTGTTTATATGAATTGTCTTCCTCAACAGACTTACCAACATGCCAGTGCTGTGATCCAATCTCTGGTTGAAGAGGATGTTAACGTCAAATTCCTAGTCCAGCTTGATAAATTGATTCGCTTGCTGGAAACTCCAATATTTGCTTATCTAAGATTGCAGGTGCTTAACCGAACCCCTTATACATACTTACATTCTTGTTATAGAACATGTATTAGTGTGATAAAATATGATTAACATGGAGGTGTTTTTTTATGTTTGTGATGCTGAAGGCTAAGGGTGTAATCTTATTTTTTGTTTCTTTTTTCCTTGCTAATATGGTATTTTAACCTTCATGTCCTGTTGCAATTTTCGTTTATCTTGTCTCATACCAAAATTAACGGTTTCTGACTTCCTTTTTGGATGTAATGTAACCATCTTTTAGATGGTCATATATCCACCCCCCAAAAACTTAATCTGTGTCATTTATTTTGCATCTTTGTCTATTATAGTGTTTTGGTAGAAGATTCCTTTTAAAGTATTGAGAGCATGCTGACATCCTTTGTTGGTGTTTCTTTTTTATTAAATGGGTAAAAGAATATGTGGATATTAATGATTATGTTACTGTTGCTACTATTTTTTATGTCTCTCAGTTTCTTTCACGATGAAGTCATATTGTTGTTCTCAAGTATCACTTCCTACTATGAATATGCTCGATCTCATAGAAGTTTTTATCTTTCTTTTGTATGAGATAACCCCTTTTGTATGAATGTTGTGATGGATAGTTACTTTTTTACTTGTTTTTCTTATGTACCTGAATCATCATTTCAATTTGCAGCTTCTCGAACCTGGACGATATCCATGGCTGTTTAAAGCGTTGTATGGTCTTCTGATGTTGCTTCCTCAGGTCTGTGAGCAACTTCACAATTTCTTTTTGTTATTTTAAAAAATCAAGCAATCCACATCCCTTGTGCCCCATGGAATGTGTTATAACATTCTTTTTTAACATCTAGGAATGACATTTTGATTTGTAACACCATGTGTGCTATTGTACATCAATACATTTTTTTGTAAAAAATATTGCACCAAGAGAGAACATTTGTCCAGCTATCCACTGGGCGTTATGATGTTACCACTTTTCTTCTCCTGCAATTTTTTTATTAATAGTGAATTGCTTCCACTGATCGTTCAATGCGTGGATGGATTGTGTTCTAGTGTAAATTAATGTGTCTAATTTGTTGAATTGTAAACTCCCTTTAAATTTTGATTATACAAATGGTTTGCTGATCATATTGACACTTCATTTGATGTTATTATGCAGCAAAGTGCCGCCTTCAAGATTCTCAAAACTCGCTTAAAAGCCGTGCCCTCGTATTCCTTCAATGGTGAGCAATTGAAGAAAACATCCTCAGGGAATACATATCAATTTCTCCATCAAATGTCTGGTGGATCTCAAATCAGTGAGGATGGTGACATAGTCATGGATCGTGGGAACTCGGTCAATGGGATAAATTTTGTTGCAAGGCTACAACAGTTTCAGCAAATGCAGCACCAGCATCGTGTGCATTTGAAAACACAGGCACAGACGCGTAAAAATTCCTCTTCCTCGTCAAAGGTGGCTGCCTTATTCATTCGCATGTCTTTTAGACCATGTTAGAACTAACTTGTAGAAGCAGTGGTGGTGTGTAAATTGATTTTTCACTTGTGAGAGAAGTTCAATTCAGTTCATTCCATCGAAGCTTTTTTTATGGAAAAGTTTATGCAAAGACGATCGTAGAAATTAAGCACTGTTTCTATTTTATGACTACTTAACAAACCATATTTTCTAAGTCACGAGTTGCGTTTTCTTTGTTATAAAATGCAGGAGGCAGAGAGGCAGGAAGAACCAAAGCGACTTCAATCGAGTGAGGTTAATGTTGTTGCTCCTTCAAGATCATCTAAAAGAGCCCAGGGTAGCTAGAACGTTGCTCATTGCCCATATTGAGCCAATCCTATTGTGCACTGATCCCAGTGTATGTGAACTTTGAATGGGATCGGGTATTGATTTGTAAAATTGTAAATCATAATAGCTCCTTTTGTTGTACTTATCATAGAAGGTTGGGGTGGTGAAAGATGGGTTTTGGAATCATCATGAATATAAAGCTTCGGCTTTGCTGGGCTATTCTTTTGACCTTGTAAACGAAATACATACCCACGTGGTTCTGTTGTTTTTGTTGAAAACCATGTGGGCTAGAGGGGGATCTTTTATTTAGAAAAATTGCTTTTTGTTCATCATGTCATGTGCTGCCATATATATAATAATAATAATAATAATAATAATAATAATAATAATAATAATAATAATAATAATAATATAACAAGGAATTAGTTGCTTAGTGTTTGAGTTGGCGTACTAGAAGAGTAGAATGTTGTATTTGGTTTTATTTCATTATTTCAGGACAATGTGATGGCCCGTTTAAATGGGATCATAATTTAGTGTTTTATTAAAAAAAGTAATAAGTTTACCTTTCTAAATTTAATATTATAAGTGTGGTATAAAAATAGATTGAATCAGTTCGATGAGCATACATGGACTTAAAATAATTAATGTGATTACCTTTTCCCTTTCAACAACTCATTTAAGATTGAGGAATCTATAGTTTCTTGCTAGGTGCAATATGTATTGTAATAAAAATGCTGGTTCCAAAATCAAACAAAAGTAATGGACTTTCTTTTCGTATTTTTTTATTACATATACATAAATCTACAAGTGTTGATTATTGATTATAATAACTTATTAGCAAATGCAAACCCAACTGATATGCCTAGCAGTACAGCCTGAAACGAAAAACTGCGAACTCAAGATGATTTATGACTTAGCAGGGGGATGGCAGTTTCAGTTAAAAGGTTGAAACATTGCTCTTATGTTGTGAGGTAACTATGATTCTTCGTTCACAGGGCATAGATCTTCTCAATGTCAGAATCGTATTCATCCAAATCTGATATATTTGCAGAATACGACCATGAGAAAGATTTGCTTCCACTTGCTCGCTTGATGCGTCTCTGGGAATCACTGCGGAAAATACCGAAATGTTGTCGGAAAACAAAGTAGCACATGCTTATTAGAGTCCCAACTAGAATAGGTACACCCAAAAGGGTTATGGTGATAGCCATCCATGTTTTCCCTCCAACGACCTCAAAAGCTATTGCTAGAAAAGCACCACAAGTGCAAGCACATGCAGCCCACATCAACTTGTTAACCACTGACACAATCTGTTTTTGAGCCCTTGTGTCCCAGGCTACCAAGGTGATTTGAACTACAACAACTGCAAGAGAAATGAAAAGGGATGTAGAATTCAGAAAGCAGAAAACTTGGAAACTAAGATGATTGGCTATATTAGCTTCCCCAATCTCTTCTCCGGGTATCTTTTCATATTGACCGGGCAAATTGAAGATGGCCAAGAAGGCTATTGAGGCAAAAAGGACAGCAACCACAGTAACAGAATTAATGGTGGTTTGAACTGCGTCTCTATGAAGTTTCTTCAGTTCCTTGGCAATTCCAGAAACCCGTCGGCGAGTTGTTTCATTTTGTATAAGTTGTGACTGCACCTCATGCTTTATATCACTCACGGTCCTCTTAAGTTCCATTGCTTCATCTACTTTGCCAACATGCCTGGCATGCTTAGCTCCATATTCTGCAAGGGCTTCCTGGATTTCCAAAGCTGAATCTCCATATGGCAGTTTATCTGCCAAATCCAAGGCTGTTTCCTGCTGCTTGTTGATGGCATTAACATCCATGGCAGAATAGCTTAGCAAAAGGCTCACTATCTGAAAAAAGAACTACGTATCAGTAAAGCCATGGAACAATCATGAAAGGAAACGAGTTCATCCATTTTGCTCAACTTATGCATATGAATAAACTCAACTCATATAGGACGAGGACAGTTTGGGGCTAAAAAGTCACATTAATTTCTCAATTCAGAGGTTAAAACTGCTACCATTTACATAGAAAGTCACAGGATCAAAACCCCTAAGTTTCTGGTTATCTACAATCTTAAGTGATTAACAAATGTTGAGTTCCTTCTCCTCAAAGACTTACTTGGAAAAAATTACCTACTATTGCTGCTGCAAACCGTAAGTTCTTTACATGGTATAAGTATAGCATGTTCTGATTACAAGAATTGCATGACTACTGACTTGAAAAAAAAAATGTATGAACCACAGAGAACAACAACTTCACAATTTACATGTATAACCCAGTCTCACATAACAAACAAAGGGAGGGCTACCAAGCACACAAGAGATGTGGATAAATACAAAACACCCAATAGGCATAGTTAGTTGTATGACCAAACTATAAATCATGTCCATGCCTCTTTTGTATATTATAAGTTTTTTTTATAATAGTTGTCTGTCTTAACATCATCTCATGCCAATCTTGGATTTTCCCTTTATCAAAGTTGGTAGCTTGTTTATGTTCCAGAAAACTAAGATCTTATTGGCAAGTATAATGAAACCCAAGAAAATATGATAGCAAAAAGAAAAAAATGCAGCCACAGTTCAATAGAATGTGAATTTAACCTGTGAACGGCATTTCCTTGTAGCCATGTGAAGAACTGTATTACCCTTCTTATCTCGCTCATTCAATATAGAAGGATCAGCTAGTAATATCTCCTCTACCACTAATGTACACTGTCCTTTGACAGCCATATGCAGTGCAGTTTGACCTTTTTTATCTTTTATGCATACTATTCCTGGATCCCGAGCAATAAGTGCTTTTACAATACGAACCACGCCATACCTGGCAGCATTGTGCAATGAAGTTTTGCCGTTTTTTCTAACTATTAACATGGAACCGACATCAATATCCAAGATAGCATTCACCACATCCAAGTGGTCTTGAACTGCTGCAGAATATAGAGGACTGGTGTTTGAGGAGTCGCATAACTTGCAGACCTCAGGCCAAGTATTCAAAAGTTCCCTCACAATATCTGGAAATAGATTAGAAATGATAAATATACCATTATTGAGATACTCATTTAGAATCAAATATCGAAACATGATAATACTCCATTCACCTTGTCCCTCATTTCCGTTATTCTTGGACCTTCAAACATTACAATAAAATTGCATCCAAGAGTACAATAGGTTACTTGTCACTCTGCATCTATCTACTATCATCAAATCCATGGCAATCAGAACACACACTGAAAACACATCTATAGGAAACAACAACCAGAGCTATTTTTTTTTTTTTTCACTCTTCTGTTCCTCAGTCAGTCTATACCACTATTTCCTCGTATATTATCATTTCGTACACACATCCAAAGACAGCAGAAATGAAGATACAGATAGTTTGTACCACGTAGAATGGGTATGGTTAGGTCTTTCCCACAAAGTTAAATATTGAAGTATAAGTACATTGCTTCAATGCTTGAATTCCAACATCAAGATTGCATCATGTGCGATTATGGCTATTCGATTCTGGTTGAACCATTTAGAATTTGTAGTAATGGTACCGATGCTATCATAAGCAGATGAAACTCATCAAAGGGTAGAGACAACATGGGGTGTCAGAAATCCATCATATAAATGATGTATTTATATTCCAAGTCCAAAAGAGAATAAAAAAAACTACCAATAAAAAAATTGTGAATCAACAGCAATATCCTGCACCTCCTAGCAAGATATTATTCAATTCAAATGAAAAAACAAAAATACCAACCTAGATTACCACGCTTGGCAGCAACGTGAAAGGCGTTCATATCAGACTTGGAGCGAATCTTGACGGCTTCAAAGTCACACATGTTGAGCAAGTAGCTGAAAATCTCTTGCAGATTATTCTCTGCAGCTATGTAAAGTGCAGTCTCTCCAGCATCGTTCTGAAGAGACATCACATCAAAGAGCGATGACCCTTCTTCCTTCTTCACTTTCTCCACCAGTTTCTTCACCCCATCGAAGTCCCCAGATCCAACGCTCGAAAATATTGATTGGTACGCTAAGAACCGCACAACCTTTGACTCCATCATGCACTTTCTCTCTCACTCTCTCTCTCCAATCTCAACTCAAAAAAAAAAAAAAAAACAGCGATATTGTTCTTTCTGTTTCAGCTACCTTCTATGTATGAAACCCAGTTGCAGAGAAGGTGAAATCATGAAAATTTAATTTATTTTTTGTTTGATGGAGATAGAGATGGAGAGAGAGAGAAGGTAGTGGAAGGGATATGTGGATGGATAAAAGCATGGATGCTGTGCACAATGAGAAAGGGTGATCGTGAATGTGATTCTTTGTTTCTTGCACTCAATTATTTGTTTGGAGTGTATTTATCTTTAATTAATTAGTAATAAATGAGTGATGTTGTGGTGAGAAGCTTGAAAGAGAGATCTTTGCATTTGCACAGAAAATCCAAGTGGGTGATGCCATTGACTTTCACAACACGACAACACAACTAGACCCGACCACTGTAATGTGTGTCCTCCGAACTACGCGTTGATGTCACAAACACAGTTTCGTTTCATGGCAAGGGTTTGTTATACATTAAGTAACGTGCCTTTAATCTCAAACAGTATAAGATCATTTGTTTTATAGAGAACACGTTTATATCAAACACTCCTAAATTATCATTTTAATTTTGTTGAAAAGGAAAAAAAAGTGTACGTTTCACAAAGAAGTAACATAAACAAAATTGTTATTCTTAAGAATAATAAATAAATTAATCAATTATATAGTTACAAAATTATCTATATGTTTATTATAAAGACATATGAAAAGTAGTAATTTTTAAAAATATCACTTTTTATTTTTTATTATTTTTTTCTCGTATATAAACAGAAAGTCAAAAAGAAAAAGAAAAACACCATTCTTATCATTTTATTTGCAATCAAATAAGTGAAGTACTTTTTTCTTACCAATTTTTTTATCATAATTATTTTTTACTTTATACTTCGTTGATGTATGCATATTTAAGATTTGGCTTCCACGTACTTTACAGTTAGATGCTTATGTTTTAAATTTTTAAAATACTTTAAATTGTTAAAATTTATTAGTGAAACACAAACTATTAAATTCATTCGTAAAGCTGTAGAATACTGTCTAGTTAGTTCTTGAAGAAGAAAAACAACAAATAATGTTGTCAAAAAGGTTAACTAACTCCACTGACAAGTAGACAATGCATACCTTTAGTAATTATGTTTAGATTTCAAATATTATTTTCCATAATTTTTCTACTAGGTCCAAAATTATCAAAATAGCCTCAATATTATTAAGCTGACTAAAATTTAATTTTTAAACAAATAATATTTACAGGAAGAGTTATGAAAAAAATCGATCCAAAAAGAGACTATGCAAAATGAGCTGAAAATATTGACATCTGAGTACGCAAAATTCAGAATTAACGAAGAAGATAAGGTTTGTATGTAGTATAATTATGATTGTTGATAAACGATAGGCATAATAATTCATAACTCTTATCTAGATAGTTGGATTATCTGATGACAACATTAAAATAACATACCTGTTCTCTTCTTTTAGCACTTTTTAATTAGTAAACATTGAATTCATTGATAAGTGCAATATATATTAAGCATTTTTATCAATATATTAAAAAACATTTAATTACTTGACTATAATTTGGAGTAAGAAATTGAGTTTATAAATTGAAGTGCTATTTTAGTAAACACAATATAATTTATTAGTCAATGATTAGTTCTTTACTTTACTATATAAATACAATCTTAGAGTCGAAGGAAACACAAAATAAACGACAAATAACTTTACAACGAAAATAAAATAGTTAAAATTTAGGAATCAAATATGTATTTTATATCTAAGTATTGGATTCCTTGCAGCTATCCCATCTCAATTACTTGTTTGGATTTGTGAGGTTGAGAAATTTTGCCACGCTGTGGACAAAAAAAAAGTGTTAAAAAATTGGGGCCCACGCGACCCCGAAGCTGGGAGATCCTCAATTTTAATTGGTCAATTAATCAAACATACTATTGTCGTACTAATCACAACCGTGTCTGGATTATCTTTACAAATTACAACCACGTCTACGTAATCAATCTTGTTTTAGAATATGCCAATAGTGTATAGAGAGAGATAATAATTAAATAGTTTATAAAACAATATTAAATAATATAATATCATATTGTATAATAATAACCTTTATATTTTCTTTTAAGTTCTTAACTTTCACAGTAATGTAAAACCCTAAATCAAAATACAATCCTGAATTTAAATTTAATAAAATAACAAATTAACGATATTATTTATATATAATATAACAAAAAATAGTGAATTAAAGATACAAAAATGAATATAATTTGTAAACTTATGTTGAATAATAATAATTATACACATTTTTTATTTTATTAAATGTTACGAGCATAAATATATTTTGACCTAGTCGATGATATTTTTTTATTTCTATAAAAATTGTAATCATTCTGTTAAATAAGTGAATTTTGATTTTATTTCCTGTAAATACATTTTTAATTCATCTTTCAAAATTTTAAATCAATATTTTTAATTTCTAATATTTATGTTAGAGATGCTGATATCATATATTTTAGAGATTTTAAGATGACCCATGAAATATATTAACACAAATAATCTCTTCCCTAAAGAAAAAGTTAATTAGTATAATTAAATACTAATTTTTCATTTTAGATATAAAATAAAATCAAATACTCAACTAAAAACTTACTTGCCTATAAATAATTTTACTTGATAATAATAAACTTAGAATATATCAGTCCAATTCAAAATAAACTGGCTTTCTACCGGTTAAATAATCTAGTTTTATATAAAAATAACCTGATTTTGGAATCATCCAGATTTCTTACCAGTCATCAGATCGTGGCAATTGAATTTAGTATAATCGAAATCTTATTAACTACGGTTTTGTCCTTATACCATCTCATCTACCATTCATTTTATCTAATTTTTTTAAAAAGCTTTCTATACAATGGTTTTATATAACCTGAACATTCATACACCCCCAAGTATCCGAGCAAATACCAATCCAGACACAATTGCAAACCTATTGTCTTACTAATATTAAAGAAGATTCCTTCCTTTTGTCTCTTTAAAAGCTTTTGTTTTTCTGAAAGCTCGACGAGAAAGGTCTGGTTAAAAATTAGAAACCGTACACCATATCAGTTACAGCCATTCAATGGAAATTGAACATGGGGATAGGTAGAGGTTTGAACTAGACCCAACTGCTACCGATCCCCTATCAGACATAAAGGAACTACTACGAGCCGATAGAAAATCGATTACGGGATCCTGAACACAATCTTCCAAGCGATGGAAATAACTTCATTCACAAGTAATCAGGGTAATCTAAATATTTTTCTGTGGGGCTACTGGTCTATCTACTGCTTATAATACAGTAAAAAATACATGTTTTTGCAATAGACATGGATCCATGCAGAGATCAACAAAGTAACTTACTTTGAAAGTAAAAGGACATTTAATTGATTGATACGAATTTAACCCCGTAAAGAATACTTCTTTCCTGTAAAAGCTTGAAATTTCGACTCTCCTTTCTCTTCTTTAGGTGGCTCTTGTTTTGACTCTTTTGCCTAAAATGATGGAAGATGTAAAAGTTAGCAGTCCATCAATTACATTCAAAGGAGGACAGATGTGGTATTCGTAAGTAAAGATAATCAAATTATATTCGAAATATTACCCAAAAGGAGTCATATAAGGAGTCATATAGGCAATTACCTTTCCTGTCTCCTTAGTACGGTTTGCATTTGACCCAAAAACAAGCTTGCCCTGAGATTGACGAGCATTACTTTGGGAACTAGAAGTTGTAGAAGCCTGCGAACTGACATTTGGAACATCAGGTTTCCTGTCCTTGGACCCTGAGGAAGAGGAAACAGGAGGAGGCTGATACTTCAAAGGTTTTCCATCCAAGCGTCTCCCGGTTCCAGAAAATGGGTTGAACTTGGGCTCAGATTCGGCAGGGGTATCCTCAGCTGCATGGAGGAACGCATCAGTCTTCGGAACAAAAAAGAACACTAATATAATGATATTATACATTTAATTAAAAACTTAATCCTCCCATTAGATGAATATTGTACACAATCTCAATTTAAAATATATAGAGAAGAGATCCACTTGTTTCAAAATAAGAGTTAAAGATTTAAGGATTAAAATAATTACTAATTTAAAAATAAAAAGATTTTGCAAGTAATGCAAAGGACTCATAACATAATATATATATATATATATATATATATATATATATATATATATATATATATACAAGGTTATCGGAATCGAGAGTCTACGTTGACTCGCGAGAGCTTCAGTAGACTCGACTCGTAAACCCGACTCGTAAACCCGACTCGTAGACTCGTAAGAGTCTACTTCATGTGAAAAATTCTATATAATAATATAAATTCAGAATTTCATCATCAAAATTAATGAAAATAAAAAACAATAGTTCAATAATTCTAAAATAACTTGGTTCAACACACATGATTGAAGCAGTCCCACTTCCGGACATTGCAAATCAGTCTCAATTAACTAAAAATAAAATAATTTTTTTTTTAGAACAACTATAAAAAACAACTAAAATAAAAGATAAAATATGCAACAAAAAATAAATTCAATAAATAAAACAGAGAATAAATTATATAAATACTACCTATTCAATAAATAAATAAATAAATAAATAAATAATATAAAAAAATTTAACAGCTAATGAATAAATAAAAAAAGAAAAGTTTCAGTTAAAAAAATGCATTGCATTTTACGGAAATGCAACGCACACACATCCTCCTCACACTCACTTACGCAGTACCTGCGACGCCACGCGAGGCGCCGGAGCTGCGACGCGAGACGACGACGCAAGGGGGGGTACGCGACGCGGAGCTTGGGGGCGAAACGTGACGCGGAGCTGCAAGGGCTGAGCTGCAGGGCTACGCGACACCACTGCGGGGATGAGGGAGGTCAGATCTGTTTGATTTTCTCTTCTTCTTTTGGGTTTCAATCGTTTAGGTTTTCGATTTGGGTGGTTAGGGCTTTTGTTTGGGTTTAAAATCGAAATGGTAACGACATTTTTGTTTGTCGTTTCATCATCCCTACGAACTCGGTGACTCGCTCTCAAACTCGCGAGTCTATTCCGAGTCAGCGAGTCTATTCCGAGTTCACTCCGAGTAAAACAAAAAACGAGTTTACATGCGAGTTCACCCGTAAACAACAGCTTGACTCGCTGACTCGTACGGGTGTACGAGTCAACCCGCGAGTTCGATAACCATGTATATATATATATATATATATATATATATATATATATATATATATATGTGTGTTCCCAATACAGATACACGTCACAGACGAAAACAGACACGTGAAAGAGACATCTATGACAAACATCAGTCAGTCAAGTGCATACCAGTCATTGGTGCCTTTCCAGTAGGAAGTGGTGCAATGGGCTTTTCAGGTTCCTTGTAATCCAAGGGAGGAGCAAAGTCCACCTCACAGTCTGTCTCAATTATGCTTATGGCATTGTCAGGCTTCGTTTCTATAATATCTATGTAATATTTCTTGTTGTTGTAAGCCACCATAATGCTATCTCCAGTAGTCAAGCAGGAAAAATTCCTCAAGGTTGTTTCTAAGCTGCATAAAAAGTACAATCAAATAAATAAATGAAGATCTAACACAAGTCACTGGGCAAAAGTAAATACAGAACTGAGCTAAAAGACGATGAAAAGATAGAATTAAAACAACACAAACCATCAGGCAACGACAATAAACCCCTACATCCCCCATACTACGTGTGGACAAGGAATTCACATGTCGAATTTAGCTCTAAACTATATTAAATATAGTTTGGAATAATTAGATGACCCACTTCTAAGATTGCAAACCACGTTAGCACAAATTAAAGAAGACGGATACAAAATAAAAAATCCCAAAAACCAGATTGCATCAAATACCATAAACCATTGTAGTTGTAGTGTGCTCGTGTGTGATTAACGTAATATCAAACAGTGGGAATATCCTGGAAAGATGACATGAGGGGATACATATATAATTTTGCAAAGGAGAAATATATCAGAGCTATTGTAATTTCAAAAGAAAAAACTCATCAGCAGGGAAATACCATAGCTTTCCAAACTAAACTTAATAAACATCAACTCACATAGCTTTTGGATTGGAAATATCCAAGAAGTCTTTTGTGTGCGGCTGTAACTTTACATATGTCCCCTTTGGAAGTGTCACATTTTTCACTTTAACAATGTCTCCTTCTTGTAAAAGCATGTTCTCCATCATCTATATGAAAACTGACTCAATTCAAAAAACTAAAAATGCAAAGCAGAAATATAATACTAAAACAAACTTAAAACAATATTCCCAAACAATTACTTTGGAATGCCTACCCAGTATGGCATGTATATCATGCCTTCCTCTGCAATGAACTCCAGAACCCCACAATGAGAAACCCTCTCAGCAGCATCATTACGAAGTTCAAACAACATTGGGTAATCAATATGCAGAGATGCTGCAAATAAAACTGAACATTAGAATTTGTCTCAGGAAAATATATTCATCTCGAATAGAAGTAAGCAAAATAAAAAACAGTTCAAATGTGACAAAACTAACCTAGACGGTCAAGGGCTGATGGAGGCATTATAACTGAAGCATGACAAGATTTTAATTTTGAGATCAGACAGAAGAAAAAGTGATATTTTAAAAAACAAAAGAACCAGTATGGACATTGAAACTTACTTTTGTCACCACTTTCAATTTGGGGCTGCAGTATTAACAGGGAAACAATAGAAAGACAAAAAAAAAATTAGTTAATTTACGTTTACAGGCATATGAGTTCAATTTAAGAACGTCATAACTATCATACATTGAACATTATAGAGTAAACTAACTTTAATAGAATATCTTTAGTTTCTTTCTTTAAGTTTTACATTTCACGCTTCCACATTCTATTTTTCTAGCTAGCATCCAAATCTTTGTCTTGTACTATATCTTCTGGTGTGGAGGTATAATAGTTTTGAACTTTCAACGAAAATGGGTTTTCAATCAACATAAATAAACTTGACAGTCTAATCAAAATTCGAATTTTCAATATTTAATGCAAGCTTACTTTCCTTGGACATGAAAAAACCCACCCTAATTCAATTTGTTCATCCGTGACTACACTCTCAAGCCTCTTTTTCTTCTCATACAGAACACTAATCAGATAAGAGAACCTTGGCACACCACCTTCTGGCCTGTTTCTCACACCTCACCCTTATGCAGAGACAGTCAGGCAAAGCGGAGCTCACAGCATAAGAAACTATCACCTCATACTTCTTTTGTTTTTAGTTGTTACAAAAAATGTATGTATGAGATTTACAGGTTATTTTAATTATTAATGGAATTTTCTATGCATTTGTAAATGTTTCAAGTGTACCTTAAGATTTTACAATCCATGTATTCATCCTACCATTTATGATCTATAACCACCCCCTCTAAATCCTACTTAAATTCTAAATTTTGAAAAAGAGAATAGGATTTATCATATATAAATTGATTTTCCAGATCTAGAGCCCTTTTATGTTCTAAAGAGAGGTTCTAAGTATGCTTTTCAAGGGGCGTGATAATAGAATGGACAAGGGATGAATTGAGAGGTATTCAACCTGTTCACCTCAATGTGCGTCCCACAACTGCACCAATTTGCGATCACCCAGAGGGGCAACATTTTTTATTTAATTATGATAAACGACTTTACCAGATAAGTAAACCAATTAAAAACACCATCTATAGCACATATACAGATGTGTAGTCAAATTATAATCATAAACAATAAAAAACTATTGAGTCATGGCTAATTTTAGTTTGTTGGAAGCAATATAATTTAATAGTGGATTATGAGCTCAAAATGGAAAATATAAGTCATTGAACTTGTAATAATTCTATAATGTACACAGGATTAGCAATGAATGCCTGGAAAGAATGCGAACCTTTTCAATAAAGGATGCTGGGTAGCATCGATATATCTGCTCAAATGATGTCCCGTGATACCCATATCCGTCAAAATACTGTACAAATGTACATGAAGTGTATAAGATTATAAAAATCAACAAATATCATCATCATCATGGCGTCAATATTACATAATTAATTGACTGATTAAAATGATAGAAAGAGAATAAGTATAATTAATAGAGATGATACAAGAAAAAAAAAATGTAGGAAAGACAAAAGAGCTGAAATATAAATTAGTAAGTAATCATTATATCCCTACATATCACCAACTTTTCCTTTTAGTCCTTATACCTAAATACTATAAGTTTGAATCCCTATTAGAGCATCTTCTTCATGCTAGAAAACTAACCATAGGTACAAAAAGAAAAAAATGGCTTGTGTATAGAGTTTAGGTACTGGGGGTAAAACAAAAACATAATCATTTCTTACATTGTGTTATGTTTTAAAAAAAAATAAAAAAAAATGAACTGAAAACTATAAAAACAACATTAAAGAAACAGAAAATAAAAAAAATAAACCATTTTCGGATGCAAACCATTTTCTATTATGCTGATTGCAGCTACACCAGATATTTAACCCTCAAAGTTCCCTGTAAGAGTAAACAACAATATGCCTTAAATAAGTACAGTAATATAAATTTGGAAGTACAGACAAAACAATTACAATGACAGTTCATATACAAGTAACTTTTAGGAAGCGAAAGTAACAATTAATTAAATAAAACACAATCCTAAACTGAACAAGCATTATCCACAAAACTCGTCATACTCAGTCAGCGGAATCTAGATTACAATAAAAGTAGAGGAAATTCAGGAAACCCTAAGTGCGACCCGGGGAACCATAACAACCGATGCTATTATCCTTTGATTGTTCGAAAAGACTGAATCAAATCGAATACAAGAGGCATTTGAATCGAATACAAATAAATTGTGAGAAAGAACCAAAACGATAATTTGGTAGGATCGATGATTGAGCGATTACAGTTTAGGAGCTTGGGAAAAGGAAACTAAAGCAAATAGAGAAACCTGATGCTTGATCTGAAGAGAGAGAACAGAGAAGTGCAAGGTAGACGAATGAAATATAAAATATTTCTAAGAGTTGGAACTTGTGTAGTAGGTAGCAGGTGGTATAGAATAGATTGCACAAGGGGAAATGATAATAGAACCGAATGGGTTGTGCTTCGGTGCGTAATGCTCACGCGAAAGATTGTATGGGCCTTACTTCGGTCCTGAGTTGGCCCAGAAATTATGGTCTGTATCACATCCGTATTATGTGGGATTTTTTTAATCAAATAGTGAATTTTTTTTTCAAATTTATTAAAGTAGATAAATTATAAAAAAGTAAAAATTTGAGTAAATCTTATTATAAAACACTATTTTAATACTAAGAAGTCGTGTTTAATAACATGAATTTAGTTTTTTTAAAATCAATTTTTTCTTTAATTATACTAAATAACACAATTTTTATGTAAAAGTCTTATTACTATTTCTAATTTTATATTATAATAATTATTATATATTATTATAATTAATTAATAATAATATATTATTAATAACAAAATAATAATAATAATAATAAAATGTATATTAATATTAAAATTATTATTTATTTTATTATTTTTATTAACATTATAGTATTAATAATACTATAATAATATTATTATTATTATTATTATAAAAAATGATATGATTAAAATTATTAATATTATTTTAATTTTATAATTAATAATAGAGTAATATTAATAATATTATAATTATATAAAATAAAAATAATATTAATAAAAAGATAATTATATTAATAATTATAATTCCATCATTTATTTATATGTTTATTATTATTTAATATTACTTTATAATCATTCGTTATTAATATTATTTGATTATTAATACTAAAATAATAATAATAATAAATAAATAATAAAATTATAAATATTAATATAATTATCTTATTATTTAATATTTATTTTATTTTATACTATTATAATTATAATTATTATTCTATTATTAATAATAAAATAAAAACAATATTAATAATTATAATTATATTATTTTTAATATTATTATTATTATTTAGTACTAATAATAATATAATATTAATAAAAATAATAAAATAAATAATAATGTTTATAATAATAATATAAATTTAATTATTAATATAAATATTTTATTAATTATAATAATATAATTATTATTATTATAATATAAAACTAGAAGTCATACTATGATTTTTCTATAAATTTATTTTTTTATTGAAAAAATTAAAATTAAAATCATGTTATGAAATATGATTTTTAATGTGATACTGAAAAAAATCAATAATAAGTAAAAAAAATGGTATTATGTATTGTGTTACAATAAAATAACCAATAAGTTGATAAATAATTTTTATCCTACAATAACAAATATAAATTTTAATAGTTTAATGAATATTTCATAAAAAAAAGTGAAATTATAGGTTAAAATAATATAATATTTAAATTGACCTATTAAGGTTTAAACTAATTTATAACGTCCCGATTCTCACGGTGGGCGAAGCTAACTTAGGCTAAGACGGCGTTCAGAAAATAGCAAACTTATCACAATTGCCAAACTGGAATGAAAATGGCGACAACGTTAACCACCCAAATCTCGCATTCATATTCATTCTTTTGAACTCTAACAAGAGTCAATTAAAAGAAACAAAGAAACATTCATTCTTTTGAAACAAAGCATGGGTTTGAAATCCCTGTTCAACAGGCAGAAGGATGCCGTATCCTCCGGCGGGGAGTCGCGGTCGATGTCACTGTCGGTGCGGTCGCGGGCGCGCCTGGCCGGAGAGCTGGAGCAGGTTTTCAAGAAGTTCGACGTGAACGGGGACGGGAAGATATCGGCGTCGGAACTGCGGTCGATAATGGGGAGCCTAGGGCAGGCGGCGACGGAGCAGGAGGTGGACAACATGATCCGGGAGGTGGACGGTGACGGGGACGGGTGCATCAGCCTGCAGGAGTTCATCGAGCTCAACACCAAGGGCGTGGACTCCGACGAGGTGCTGGAGAACCTTAAGGACGCGTTCTCCGTGTTCGACATCGACGGGAATGGGTTTATTACCGCTGATGAGCTGAACACGGTGATGCAAAGCCTGGGGGAAGAATGCTCCCTGGCGGAGTGCCGGAGGATGATCGGCGGCGTAGATAGCGACGGCGACGGCAACATCGACTTTGAGGAGTTCAGGGTGATGATGATGATGGGATCGCGCCATGACACCACCGATAGAGTTAAACCACCTCCTGAAATGGCTTAGCTTAACTTCTACACACCTTCCTCTTCCTCATCTCTCTCTGTACATAAACCTATTAATTATATATTGTAAGTCAATTCCTTCAATTCAAACACATGCATTTCTATTTCTACATAGATTTTGACCTTCTTCCATACAATTTCTCAGGTAGATTAATTCTTCCCCTTAATATTAGTCCATTTTTATTGTTGCATTTGTTTATTTATTGTGTGCTTCTTCCCTAAAACCCTCTATAGTTTTTAGTTTAGAAAAACTGTATCATACTAAATCATAAATTCTGCAGGGATTATTTTTTATTGGTCAATGAATCTTGACAAAACGTGCGCCATGGTCAAACCAGAAGATTTCCCTTTTTATCTACTTTAAAATATTATATTGTCACTTTTTCTACATTTACATGCATCCTCGTAACTTTTAAAGATATTATACTTACACACAAAATAAAGAGAATTATTATAACGATAAAAAAAAAAACTATTAATGTTAATGTCATTTAAAAAAAAATATCATAAAGTATAATTGTAATTTCAAAATTTTTATATCCTCTACATTATCACAAGCGTATATAATACACAATTTAGAAATCGAGTGACATACACATTAAACTTGTTTTTTATTTCTAAAAAAAATTATATTTTCTATCTTTTTATTGATTTTACAATTTCATCTAATTATCATAATTTTTAAAAAATCTTAAATTCAAGTAAGTCGTGATCTAAATGCTATCGGGATACGAGTTCCTTACTCTTATTTTGTACCTCAATCCAACACATCTTAATTCTTCAAAATTCTAACTTGAATTTACGAAAATAAAAACCTAATTTCTTCGGTTAAAATTCTTTTACCCAAATCAGTATTCATATATCTTAATTAATACTTCCTATTATTTCTATTATAAGATACCATTTTAAAAAAATATATATATATATATATATATATATATATATATATATATATATTAAAAACATAATTATACGTTGTTATTAATGAACTTGATAATGATTAATAATTAAAATAAAATAAAAAACATAATAAAACTGAGAGCTTACCCTGTGGTGGTGTTACCGCTGGGAAGAGGAAGAGAAGGAGGATTGGGTTATGGCGACTTCGAAGACGGTGATGTGTTCGCTGACCCACTTGCGTCCGCTAACCTGCGCCGCGTCTGCATCGGCGTCACGATTAGTGCCCCACCCACCGGACCTCATAAAGTGGGTAACCAGAGAGGGTGGGTTCGTGCACCGCGCGGTGAAGATAGCGCAACTCGATTCCTCGAATGGACTGGGCCTAGTGGCCAAGGAACAAATTCCACCCGGCACTGACCTAATTGTCCTCCCACACCACATTCCCCTGCGCTTTACCACTCTCCAACACGACCCTCTGCTGCATCGCTTGGCAAGCCAAGTCCCTGGTATTTATTCTTTTTCTTTTCACTATTCCGCAAAATGTTTTGTACTATCGCAGACATTTTTTTTCTCCTACTGAGTATAGGGTAGTAGTGGCTCATGTTTTGATAATTAGGCTCTACTAAGTTTTTTATGTAAATGAATTGGACACTGGTAGCATTTGGCAGAGGAACTATGGGCCATGAAACTGGGTTTGAAGCTTCTGCAAGAGAGGGCAAAAGTTGGGTCCTTCTGGTGGCCCTATATAAGTAATCTCCCAGAGACATATACCGTGCCTATTTTCTTTCCTGGGGAGGACATAAAGAACTTGCACTATGCTCCTCTTCTTCACCAGGTACTTTGTTCTACAATTACATAAAATCTTTTAGTACTGAGGTGAGGTTCTGTTTGGATGAACTTTTTCACAAGTATTTCTTGAAGAAAATACAAAGATAAAATGCACTGAGTTTCTCTTGAGCTTAAATGAAACTTATTTCAAATTCTGTAGAAATTAAAGAAAAGAACTTGCTTAAAAATTAAGTGCATAAGCTTATTCATACAGCTCAACTCATTCTTTTTTTCGTCTTCTCATATTACTGCTTACGTATTTATCCAAACAGGATCAGAATTTGTGCTACACAACTAGTCAAGAATTGATTTTTTAGATTTTCATTTTGACAAGAGAAATGAATATACTATACCTACTTGATCTCCAATGACTAATTTTAAAATTTGTTACCCTATTGAAATGTATTTCCGGGAACTGAGAAATGAATACACCATACCTACTTTCTGATTTTGTAACATAGATATATAAAAATCATTTGATGCACCTAGCCAATATGTTTTACTGCTGTGCCAGTCCACTTTCATTTTGCCGTTGGGGACATGAGAAATATGCACTTTGATATCAGTCCTTTTAGCTAATACTTGAAGACGCATTTGTAACCAATTCCAGAAGCTGAAATCGTCTGTCTCGTTGTTTATAGAATATAATGAGTGTTTGAAACATGTCTGTAGTATGCCAATTAATTTAAGTCAATTTCATGAGGCAGGTAAACAAAAGATGTCGGTTTCTTCTTGATTTTGAGCAAGAAATCAAGCGTGCCTTAGTAAGTGTTAAGCCAGATAGCCATCCTTTTGGTGGTCACCAAGTAGATGCGTCTTCCCTTGGATGGGCAATGTCAGCAGTCTCGTCTAGAGCATTCCGGTTGTATGGTGAAAAGGAACCAAATGGAGACCGCATTAACATACCCATGATGCTCCCTCTGATTGATATGTGCAATCATAGTTTCAATCCAAATGCTAGAATTGTTCAGGAAGAAGATACCAGTACCATGAAGATGCAAGTGAAGGCATGCTTTCTCATTTTTCCCATTTATATTGCCCAAACCCCCACCAAATTGTTATTTTTCTGCTTTTAAGAAACAAATTAAATCGTAATTATCTTTGGTGGTGGCATTCTTTCTTTTCTCAGGTTGTGGCTGAGACAGCAATCAAAGAAGATGATCCTCTGTTACTTTGCTATGGCTGTTTGAACAATGATTTTTTCCTTCTTGATTATGGATTTGTGATGCATTCAAACCCTTTTGATTGTATTGAGCTCAAATATGATGGTGCTCTTTTGGATGCTGCAAGTACAGCAGCTGGAGTTTCTTCACCAAATTTCTCAACACCTGCTCCGTGGCAGGAACTGATTTTATCCCAGTTGAATCTATCTGGAGAAACTCCAGATCTCAAGGTTAAACTACTATTGCATGTTACATTAGTGCCCTTCTTCTACCTTGTAGAAGCTTAATGTATATTGCTATTGATGTATCAACATCACATCCACTATTTTGACTTAAGGTTTCCCCACAGTTCATAAGTGAGTGATAAAACTAGCCAAAGCATAGGATCACCAGGAATAAATAACAATTTGCATCATAATTGAATGATCTTAACACAAGAACCGAAGAACCTTGTGGTATTACTCATCCCATCCATGGCACAAGTTCATTTATTTGTTTTCTTGTTACAGGTGAGCTTAGGTGGTCAAGAAACAGTTGAGGGCCGCTTGGTGGCTGCATTGCGAGTACTCCTTTCAAGTAATATGGAAACTGTGCAGAAGTATGACCTGAGTACACTACAGTCTTTGGATGCTGACGCTCCTCTTGGTGTTGAAAATGACATAGCTGTATTTCGCACCCTAATTGCTTTGTGCGTCATTGCACTGGAACACTTTCCCACCAAAATAATGGATGATGAATCACTGTTGAAGCAGGGTGCTTCAGGTTCAACCGAGTTAGCCATTCGGTACAGAATCCAAAAGCAATGCGTAATTATAAACGTAATGAAAAATCTCTCAAGGAGGGTAAAGCTTCTATCATCAAAGGAAACAGCAACCGCCGATGGTTAAGTGGTTAAGTGAATATTTATTTTATCTGTAACACTTCCCAACGTGCTTTAAATTGAATGCTACACTCACAGTGGATTCTCATTCAGCTGAATGCAGCGGTCGGTCATTCAAAAACATGTGATTCAGTTGAACGTTTGCTCTATTTACAATGTTATTGGAGAGTGTAATTTTTATTGAGCCAATTGCTTACGCAGTTGGACAATCTTCTGTTGAAATATAAGCAGTGATATTTTTTGTTAATTGGATATCATGTTTTAATGTTTGACCATCTTCCCTGCAGAGAAAAGTGTAAATATGGAATACGTGATACGGGAAAAATCAAATTTAGTCACCGAATATTTTATCCTAGTTTTTAATCAGTGATTATTTTTATAATTTCTTCATTCTCTGATTTTTTTTTTTACACAAAATGGAATATATAGTGCTTCAGAAACAAATAGAAAACCTACACCCCACCTGCCATAGCTCTCTTTCACAATCTCGCATGAATAATAATAACCAAACAAAGAATTTGAATTCATGGGGAGCTACAAAATTTGATTCTTTTTTTCTTGACGTGGCATAAGAACGCTTAGTTACAGTGAGCGGTTCGGTGTTAGATTTAATGTTTGACATGTCAAGCCCTGTTCATGCTTCAAACTTGTCACATACAACAAGAAGAAAAGCAAAATTATTTTTTTAATAACAGGGGACAACGAATCCTCTCTCCTTTCTCCACCAATTAATTGAACAAGACTTTGCAAAAACACAAGCACATGGAAGAATTATGAGTTAAAAAGAGGGGAAGAGGTTTCAGAGAAACCATGTCCCAAATTTTACCACCAAAAACATGTACAAGAAAGCCAGCCGAACATAAAAGCTAGGAAGAACGAAACACAAAAACATAAAAGGAACAGACTAAAAGGGAAGCAGAAAAAAAAAAAAAAAGGACGTCAAAATATAAAGTTCAAACTTCCAAGAAGGAGAGTTTGCCTCTCTAGGCATATATATAATATATTATATGTACATGTGTGTCTGTAACTGTATCATATGTATGATATTTGTGTTGGTCTAACATCCAAGGATAACACTTTCTGCCAATCCCAGTGGTGAGCGAGAGCGAAGACGGTTGACATCTCTGCGAAGGGCACGCCTGATGTGTAGCTGCAGTGAAGGGTGCTTTGTTTTCTCAATTTCTTGCTTGATTTTGATGACTTGGCTATGAACCGCAGAACCCATGTAACCACCCTCTCGTTTCTCGTTGAAGTAGGTGGTGGTGTTCTCCATCTTCTTCTTCTTCTTCTGCAGAATCTGAAACAGACCCTTTAGGAAGTAAATACGTGTGAAATGTGATTATGGCCTTAAGGAAACCAATTGACAGATACGTGGATATATATACACCCGGAAGACGGAATGAAAAATAAGATTTTTTAGAGAAAGGGAAAAAATCTTTCTTTTTTTCATTTATTATAAAAAGGAAGTTTTATTAGGCTCCACTCCACCTTCACCATTTGGAAGGATTTGGAACAGACATTTGAATCCATGCCCCTAAAATAATAATTCTTATTTATTATTTTATTATTACACTATGCACTATACACTTTTACTATTGATATAATAATTATTAATTATTAATATTATTATTTATTATATCACCCACAACAATGTTATACATTAATTACAAATCTGACTCATTGGATTTATTGCTTTCTTTACTAATCAGAACCAATAAGCAAAACAACCAGACAATTCAACGCCATTTGTCTAATATACAATTTTTATTAACAAATCTTAATCCATGGCAATGCTACATCTAAATGTTGACAAAATAAAAAACCTGACATATAATTTTTGTAATGATTGTAAAAAATTTGCAATAAGTACATATTAATTTGCACTAATTAGTTGGCATGTTTTATTTCTTGAAAACAGTAAAGTTTTTTGAGATGCTAGGTAATTCTAGAAATGATAGTAGGTTTCAAGTTGTCAAAAATTGAATAACGACAACATAATTGATGATGAAGATTTGGTTATGGTAGTTAAAAAAACAGAAAATGTGAATGAATGATGGAAGATTGAGATGGGAATGTGATGAAACACGTGGAGGAAAGGAGTGGTGTTTGGAAAGGAAATGATAGGCATGGATCCATATATAATATTAATTTGACAATGAAAAGTCATGAAATTTCATCCAATTTACTCCACAAGGTGTCCCTTGAGAAGAAAGAAATGGTTTCCACGGCATGAAAATGCTCCAAGATCAAAGTTCTACCACCCTCCACCCGTGGGCATGGTCACCTAATACGACAACTTAGGAAGCCACCCAAACCAATAGAAACTCACCACCTCGATTCAATCAATGCAAGATTATGGTCTATTCACACCCACTTTGCTTATTATGTTTTCTACATTTGTTCCATTTGCCACTTGGAACTGTTTTCCACATCCAACTTTGGGTCAAATCTTTCTAACAGTTGGTCCTATTTTATATTCTGGTAGTGCAGCTATGATTCCACAATTTTATTTTATTTTATTTTTCTCTCGTTGCGACTGGTGATTCATAAACGTGTAGTAAACTAGCTTCGATTCGAATACCAGTCAACTGAATGACTTTGAAAGTCATAAGCAAAGGGTGACATATAAAAGTAATTGACCTGCATAATCCAAGATAATTTTTATGGAATTAAGATGCGGTCCTATTTGCTTAGATTTTAATTTAAAAAAAACAAATTAAAGTTTTATTTTACCATTTATTTTAGACTATTTTTTATTATAAAATTATTAAATATATTATAAAAATATCACATATATAACTAATTGTAATATTTATAATTTTAATTTATTTTTATATATTTTTATCTTTAATAATCATATATTTTAAATTATAAAAATTTAATGATTCATTCACAATAAATATCATATTATATGTTTTAATTTTAATATTATATATTATAATTGTTGTTTGTTAATGTTTTAAAAAATTGTTTGATTTTCAATTTTTTATTTTTATTTTATTTTATTTTTTTAGTTAACTCAGTTTTAATCACCCTTTCACTTCAAGTTTTAGAGACTTACGCGTAGTTGGTTTGATTATGGACCGGTTTTGGGCCTTTTTAACGTTCCATGGATGGGCTGAAATCGTAACTTTTTTTTTTTTTAATCTCCATAGTTTCTTTGTAGATCCCAATAATTAAAATAAATTATATTTTATCTTTCATCAAAATATATTCAAACTTATTTTTAATTGATTGTTCGAGAAGTATATTTCAAATTGAATATTCTATAACGTGTTTTATGATTTTCGTATTGGCTGAACTGCGAATACATTTCAAATTTAGTGTTCCGAAATTATTTTTGATTAACGGTTTCAGAAATCACTTTCAAATTAAAAAATACGTTCCAAAATTCTTATATGTAGGTTTGGTAGGTTAGTTTTCTATTTTATTTATACTTACTTCCTCTTATATTATACTAAATGACGTTCATTTATTTTAGTTTTAAAAAAATATTAATAACTTTTATGTTTTTAATAAAATTTTCTTTTTCTTATTTTAGTTTTTATTTTTTAAAGAATTACATTTTTTATTTGTGAGACTTCAACGTGGTTAGTGTAGATTTATTGTGTAGTTTCTAGAAAAATAAACTAAATACATAGTTGCATAAACTAAATATTTTATTGTGATAAAATATTTATTTCCAATTTTCGATAATTTTAAAATGATTTTTCTGTAATATTTGTTTACTGAAAAAGAAAATATATATGAAGGGTATCATTTCTCAAAGCAACACATGGAGACTATAATATCTCAAAATGGGCCAAACAAGAGAAGAATAATTTAATTAATATCCACGCTCCCACGAAAATTGATATTGTAACTATAGATGCTACACGTTGATTATTAATAATCCGTAACACTAAACAATTATTGAATAATATTATACAAACACATGTACTAAATTAATAGTTATGTCAAATAACTTTATGTAGATTTCTATTTTATTTTCGATTATTTCATATTACTTTTTTTAATATTTTTTTAGTTCTTCGATTTCAACTTCAAACTTTATTGAAGATCATGTGTCAATAAAATATATAATTAAGTTTGTTGGTCTTATTATATAATTTATATTGAATTGATATATTTAGACCATTTACAAAGGATCACATTTTATAAAAAAAATTATAACATATAATGAGTACTAAAAAAAAAGATACATTTAAACAGTAGAAAAAAGACAAAATTAAAAAAAAATACTTTTACATAAATTAATTATAAAAATTTGATACACAAACGTTTTAGATATAAGAGAATACAAATTTCTTCAATTTTATAAATTTTATTTATGATTAAAGTTCATTTAAAAAAAAAACAAAACTTAGCTCAATTTTCTCCATCTTACAATTCTAATAATTTATAATTTTGTTTGATATGACAAAATAAAAAAATAACATGTAAAGATGTAATTTAAAAAATACAAAAAATAATAAAATTTTAAATGATAAATAAGATCTTATATCTAAAAATTTTAATTTTAATATAGTAAAAAATAATAGAAAAAATATAACTTTCTAAAACAACAAAGATGATATATATTTTTATTCTCTCCTATGTATAAAAACCTAGTGACAATATATTTCAAAATTACTTTGAGAACAGACTTAATTTGTATGAATGTGGATTAAAAAAAGTGTGTGATGATTGTATGAATGTGAAAGCATGTGCGTGGTTTTAAATTAAACTGATTTTTAAATAAAAAATAAATTGCGTTGACTTTGATCTGGGTTTGAATCTATTGTATTCTTACAATTATAATTGTGTGTACATGAATTTAAATCAAACTAGTTAATAATAATAATAATAATAATAATAATAATAATAATAATAAAATAAATAAATAAATAAATAAATAAAGAGAGTTTATATTTCACTTCATTAGAAAAAAAGTCAATGCATATATTTTCATGTCCAGGAAATTAGTATTGCAGTAAAATAATCGGATAATTAAAGTCTATATATTTAAATCTATCATATTTAAATATTTCAAAAATTTTGATGTCAAATATATACAGAAAATAATAACCACTTTAAAGAATACAAAATTTAAAAATCCTTGCTAGATTTAAATTAATATTTTAATATTCACTGTGTTGGCGTCGACATATATAGAAAAATTATAATTTTTAGATAATTCATACAATTTATTAAATTTTATAAGATCATGATTTGAATAGGAGTTTGAAGTTGATTAAGATGGTTAAATTTTATACGATGAAACAAACAGAACTTCGAGACTGAAAAATTGATGAAATAAAAAAAAATCAGAAATTCCAAAATAGCTAAGTATAAGATGAGACAATTAAAAACAAAAGTTAAAATGAAGAGAAAGTTATTAATAACAACAACCTTGGACTAAAGATTAAGATAGATGTCAAAATTTTATGAAGTGGTTTACACGTGTTTCTAAAATATGTTGCATGATATTATTCAACTGTTAGAGTTGACATCTATTAATAAAACTCATATTATAGTTTTTGGTTGTTAAGACACTTAACATCCTGTGACTCCTTTCCATTTCATACACTAATAACTACCAATTCAGTAAGTCAAACGTGTATATATATATATATATATATATATATATATATATATATATATAATTTATATTCAAATATTTAAATAAATCTCATAGCTATAATAACTATTATTAAAAAAATTATGATTGTTCCGTAGCATTGGAACAAAAAAAAACTTTTTTTTTCTTTACTGCTGCTTATGTAGTCCATTTAAACAAAATAAATATTATATTTAAAAAAAAAAAAAAAACAGTGAGTGGGTCGACGATGATTATCAACCTGGATGACTATGAAAGCAGAGTGAGAAGGAATAGATATGGGGAGAAACGTGTTTTCAAAAGTCAGCCTGAGAATCACCGTTCTCAGGCCGTGTCGACTTCAATGTAAAGACTGTGTTTTTATAAAAAAAGATTAAAGAAAACTTCACCCTACAACAACAAAGTAGTAATATTCTTTTTTGCTATCTAAACTCATCATGTCATGTGGATTTAGATATTATTAATGTTGACTTAATGAAAATAAATACATGCCACGCCACAAGTAAATAACTTGTTGGCGGAAACCACACAGAATAATCAATCTCAACCTCTTTTCCTTTTTATTTTACTCGTGTTTGGTCCATTAACAACTTTTCATTAATATTAATTATTATTATTATTATTATTATTATTATTATTATAATTACTCTATAATAATGTATTCCATTTGGTTGAAGATAGATAAGTGTCGAGGAAGGCGACAATTACGCGTTTCATGTGCTTGCTTACAACACCAAAAATTCTGAACCTTTATTCTATATATAGCTGCTTCTTGTCACTCTTTATCTCCACCTTTTATGTATTCTTACGTCTCCAACCAATCAATCATACAGATCCATCATATATCAACCCAACTCAAATCATTTTCATCTTCTTCTTCATATTGCTGCTGCTGCTTCGTTCTTCCACTCTTCCTTCAATTTCGTGACTGAAAATTTAGTCTTCAAATCAGTTTATTTCCGCCATGGCCTGCTTGGTATCTCGCTCAGGAAGGGAATTGCAGAGGTACAACAACATGGGTGGCCGCCAAGTTGTTGGGTGAGTTTGATCTTCATTTGTTTCTAGTACTGTGTCTTGTTGTGTCTGCCAAAATCTTTCACGTGGGTTAATTCATTTTCTATACAAATTGCTAAATTGGTAGGTCCCTGGTGGCGCACTTTTTCTTGGATCTTTCTTATTTTGTTTTTCATTACAAAAGGGTCATAATAATAGTTCCACCTATCCATTACTCTATCATTCGATTTGTTTGTTTCAGTACTTGACTAGATATGTTTGTGCAGGTGCATACCTTACAGATATAAACAAGATGTAGATGGTAACATGAGTGAGGAATTGGAAGTACTGGTTGTTAGTTCACAGAAAGGTCAAAGATTGATGTTCCCTAAGGTATATTGGTCATTTTAGTTGAATTTGCTCAATTGGGTATTTAGTGGTCATTTTATTTAGTGTAACATTCATTATTTTAACTTCCTATTAATCTGATGATCACAGGGAGGATGGGAACTTGATGAATCTGTAGAAGAAGCAGCTTGTAGAGAATCCCTTGAAGAAGCAGGAGTTTTGGGAATAATTGAGGTATATATAATATATTGTCTAAATCAATTATTCTCAATTATATTACCCACTTTTTTTTTTTTTTTTTCCATTCAATCGATTTTGTTATCGAAAGTTAAACATAATTTTGTTATTCACATGCAGCATGAACTGGGGCAATGGAACTTCATTAGCAAAAGACATGGCATATACTATGAAGGACACATGTTCCCCATGTTTGTCAAGGAACAACTTGACACGTGGCCTGAGAAAAATTTACGGAGAAGAATATGGGTATGTTTAGGCTCTACTCGTATTTTGCACAAGATATAATCGAATCTATTTAAAAAAATATGTATTATTTGGAAATTTTGCTAAATTTTTGTGTGGGGTAACTGTAGATGAACGTTGGTGAAGCTAGAGAAGCTTGTGAGCATTGGTGGATGAAGGAGGCATTAGATATATTGGTTCAAAGAATCGTGTCTTCACAACAACGAAAATAAGACATTGGATGATTAAAACAATTTAATATTAGGGTAGGCCACAATGTCTATATTTTGTATCTTCATAAATTGAGACTTATAGAGAGAATTTATTTAAGGAGAGGAAAAAATAAATGTAGAGAATGGAGTTGCAACTTTTATGCAACTTCAATGTTACACACTTCACATTATTCAATTATTATTATTATTTAGTTAATTCTGTCCAAATAATAAAATGTAAAAAATAAAAATAAAAATCATCGCGACACTGAAGTGAATATAATATCGGAGAAGATTGATTTGCAAAAACACAATTATTCATTACACATGTTTAGTTTTGAATCTTGTTGTATTTTGCATGTATAAAAACAAAAATAGTTTTCTTTAAATAAATGTTTGTATATAATATAAGGTATATTGAACAAATTGATGTAATTATACGTACCTGTTATTAGACGTTTGTCCAATCATATACAAATATAATGTATTCATAAAAGAAATTATTATCTCTATTTGTAAAAGTTTAATACCAGAAATTTATTGGTTTCATATTTAAATAAATTATGTTTCCGAAGATATAAAATACTCTTAAATCAATATTATTATGATAAAATAATTTTTTACCTAAGAGCAATTATTTTAATAAGTAATATCAACTTATAATAATAACAATACTAATAATAACAATAATAATAAGTAATATCAACCTAAAAATAACAATAATGAATTATTATAAATATGAGAATCAAGGTTTGATATAATTGGTCCACGAAGAGTCTAACAAAATAAACCATAATAAAAGAAAGAAATTTATAATCTAAATTAAATTAAGTTAATTTTTGTTGAATTTTAACTTGTAACATGTTCAAGACAAGTCAAAGCATAATTTTATAAAATAATAATAATTTTCAACTAAAAATAATAACAGAACTATATATAACATTCCATACACAGCTTATGCATAATTTTTTCCCCCAAAATTTACGTCTATTATATATATATATATATCATACTTGCCTTGACTCATCATAATTATAGTGATAAATCCTTCATAAAAAAATGATAATAATAAATGGTTATTCATAGTTAATTATAAATATTAATTAGTTTTGATGGTATTGAATATTAATAAATGTTTAAAAGTTTCCTTTGAATAGTGTTAGGTGTAAACCATTCAAAACCTAAAAAAAAGTGCAGTAACTTCAAATTCGTGACTATAGGGTCAACTTCAGCACACGTGCCTCTTAAATTATGAAATGATATTTTCAATTCAGTATAATAAATAAATTATGGAATAATATTACAAACTATTGATTGATATAAATGATTTTTTAAGGTAATGATTAAATTTGTAAAAAAAATAAAAATAACAATTGGAGAATATAAATAATAGAGATATGAGATGAAAAAAATATATTTAAAAATTTAGATAAATTAATATTTCTTTATTTGGTCAGAAAGTGAGAACGGTGCAGAATACTACCACTACGTGTGGACCGTAAATCAATTGTTTGGTCCAACTGTTTTATTTTTTTCTTTTTCTATTCAATTAAATAATCTCTTTTTTAAGTTTAAATGATTTTTTTTATAATATATTAGGTCTAATTAATAGAGTCGTGATAACTTTATTATTCTTTGGGCTCTGTGAAGCACGTTTAAATTGTAATTCGTGTGCATGCATTTTTGAGAAGGGTGAGAGATTAGAAGGGGATAATGCATTATTTTTTTAATTTTAAATATTTAAAAAAGCTCTACACTTTTTCTATTATATTATTTATATATAATTTTTATCAAACATATTTTCAGTATTATTTATTAGTTTAGGTGTTGTGAATTTGTTATCTTGTTTTGACAACTGTTATTGTTGTTGGTTTGTTCGTAACATTAATATTATTTTTGTGTCAACACATTTCTCACGTGTCCTTCTTTTGTATATTTTTTCTCCTCTTGTCTTATTTTTTTTTCTTTTCGTATTTGTTTCAAAATTCTAATAGTCTCATAATTAATCACCGATACATATTTTTCTCTGTTGTATACTGTTCCATGAAAATACACAAGATAACAGAAAAATCCCTTCAAGCTTAATTACTCCATTTTCTCTTCGTTTATTTGGTTTCACAACGTCTACAGGTTTTTTCATGGATTTTTTTTTTTATTTGTATATGTTAATTTTTTTGGGTGAATACTCATGTAGTATTTTCAAATGGTCTCCTTCATACTTCAAATTGAACTTAAATTTTAGCTACCAATGGTATGTTTAGTGGATATTTATTGAATGCAATTAAGAGATTGCAGGAAAATTCGTGTAAAAGTGAAATTTTGAATTTTGAAAATTTTAAATGACAATGATTTGGTACGTTAATAAAATTTACATTTAGATTAGGATCAAGGTTAATGATGGTTTATATACACATATTTTTTATTATTTTATTTCTGTTTTATTAACTTTGTATTATTGAGTGTTTAAATTCATCTTGTAAACTATTTTAAAAAACATTTTTTGAGTCTTTGAATAAAATACTCATTCTTTTTTTTGTCTTTAATTTTTGTTCACTTCTAATATGGTATCAGTTTGTATCGCATCTTGTAATTTCTTTTTCAATTCTTTTTTTTTGTTCTTCATGATTTATTTGGTCGTTCCACCTTTGGATCCCCATGATCTTCTCTTTATTCATCATGGTGATCATCCAAGTCAAAGTCATGTTTCTACGTCTCTAAATAGTGACAACTTTGGTTTTTGAAAATGTTGTCGCAATTGCTCTTGAATAAAAAAAAACAAGATGGGTTTCATCGATGAATCTCTTCCACAAGCCACCAATCCAATCTAGCTTTCTTTGTGGAAAAGAAATGATAACATAATGCGTTATTGGCTAATTAATTCAGTCACAAAAGATATCACTACCAACATCATCTACTCTTATACTTTTGCCCTCCTATGGGAAGATTTAAATTCTTGATATAGGCAAAACAATGGTCTTCGGGTTTTCTAGTTGAAGAAAACGATTTTCTCTTAATAACAAGGCTCGATGTCTATGAGTCAATACTTTGTCATGATCAAAAGTCTTTGAGAAAAATTGGGTGATTTTCAACCATCTCCTCCCTGCACCATCACATTAAACTCCTGATTGATTACTTCTATTTTGAGCATGTCATATCTTTTTTAATGGGTCTCAATGACAACTATTCCCAAATTAGTGCTGAAATTCTTCAAATGAATCATATTACTTTAATTAGTCGTGTGTTTTCTCTTGTGATTCATGAAAAAAAATGACAAGAGGTTTACATTATAACATAACAATCTTCACAAATTGCTTTCACTATTTCTCAATCTCAAAACAAATCACAATAATTTGGTTTCACAAAGAAACATGGATAACCAGTCGGATAGAAGAAATCCAATTATGTTGTCTACCAAGTTACGAATTTCAACATAAGAGAGAGTCCAATGCAACTTACTAAGGCTTAATATGATCAACTCCTAATTCTCCTTCAGAACCAGGTAGCACATCACTAGTGCAGAATAGAGCTTTTACATCACTCAATTGTCGTCGCATGCATGTATATTCGACGTAAATAAAACACGGTGGCAATTTTGTAAATATGGGACAAAAATTTTACGTCGCACATCCCAGTATGCAACGTAAAAAGCCTCTTTTACGTCGCGTGCTGGGATGCGCGACGTAAAAAGTCTTTTTTATTCCCCTCCAGACCCACTTCCTCGTCTCGCGCAACCAGGGTTTTTGAGAACGACGACAACAGCTACCTCTGCACACCATTTTCGAGCAGTTTTACAATGAAAAGCATCTACATTATTGTGTCATTTGACGAACTTGATCTTTCTGCCCGATTGGAATCGAGTTTGAAATCAGTTTTCGTCTACACTCGAGGTTAGTGTTCTATGTCCCGTGATTGTTTTTGGGGATCTCAATCACGTTATAGTATGAATGTCTCCACTGCATTGTTATTGGAATGTAATTATTTGTTTATTTGTTGGAGTGCATTCGGTTTACACACTCCATTGTTGTTGGAACGTGATTTGTTGTTTGTATATTAATTTTTTTTACATATAATTTTTAAATCTTTAGGAGTGACGAAACTTTATAACATAATATGAATCGAAGTTGGATGAATGCACGTCGTATTAGTGAAGAATACGAAAAGGGAGTTGAGGAATTTTTGAAATTTGCTAGTGAGAATGGAAAAACTATGAAAGGGACATATTATTTTCCATGTGTTCATTGTTTGAATCAAATTCGTCATAAACTTGAGGATATACGTGATCACTTGTTTGTTTATGGTATTATTAAGAGTTATACAATATGGACATGGCATGGAGAAATATTAGACATCCCAACTGTGTCAACTACAGACAATTTTGATGAAGGGATGAATGATAATCTAGAGGATATGATACGTGATATTGGTGAAGAAAATTTTATGAAAGCACATCTATATGATTCTTTGAAATCTGATTTTGCGCAACAATTGTACATAGGATGTAGTTTTACAAGATTATCGAGCAACTTTAAAATTGTTTACTTTAAAAGCAAGAAATGGATGGACTCGATAAAAGTTTCACCGAATTATTGAAGTTGTTGAAGGAGATGCTTCCGAAGATAATACATTACCTATTCGTAACTATGAGGCAAAGAAGATATTATGTCCAATGGGTTTAGAGTACAAGAAAATACATGCATGTCCTAATGATTGTATATTGTACGAAAGGATTTTGCTAAATTAAAGATGTGTCCGACATGTGGTTTGTCGAGGTTCAAAAACAAAGTTGAGGAAAGTAGTGGTGAGGAAGAAGTAGATGGTCCCCCTGCTAAGGTGTTATGGTATTTGCCAATTATACCTAGGTTTAAAAGATTATTTGCCATAAAAGAAGATGCAAGAAACTTGACATGGCATGCAAATGGTAGAAAATGTGACAATCTTCTTCGACATCCAGATTGATTCTCCACAATGGAAAAGGATTGATGAAACCTTTCCAGAATTTGGTGCAGAGCCAAGAAACTTGA